TAGGCATTGTTGTAATCTGCAGGTGGATGTTGGGCGTTAGCAAAATAGACTGAATCATGTTCTGTAAAAAGAGGCTTGTGGAGAGAAGAAAATGCCAACCATTTCTAAAAGACAAAAATAAATAAATGTTAACTAGAAAATTGAGATGGGAATAGTATTTTTTCGAAAAATTAAGTGAGATAGCCATAACCAAACGTCTAAATCAACATTCTATTTCTTCTTAATATGTGCCGATGTTAAAGTATGCTAGAGACTTAGCTACTAATGCTAAAGACCAGTGTTAAGAGGCTAAAGTAAGTGATAAGGATCTCTCAGTACCTAATGTTTGGTACATAAAAAAGGTGTAGACACTTACAGCATAAACATCGTCGTGAGATCCTGCGTAGTTCTGAAGCTCTCTCAAACAAACTTTAAACGAGGATTGCGTGACGTCTTCAATCCACACACTCGCAGCGTCACGCTTGAGTCCTGCACGATAGTGCGCTGCGGTAACAAACACTGAAGGTGTCACTGAAAACTTTCCCTGCATAGAAAACAAACAAAACACAAGCTGTTACTGTTGATGTTCCACTTACTCATGCTACTACTGTTGTTGTTGTTACCTTAGTACTGTTTAACATTAGCGAAGATTTGAAAATCTAGTGATGGCTAATGCTCTAATGGCTAAGTGATAGGTGACATTTTAGGTCCATTAGTCCAAAGGAAATCATGTCATATTGAAATAAATCCGATGACTGTAAACTACTCGAAATTGTTCTTCGGGAACTTGAGTTGTAAAATGAAACGAGAAAGTACTTACCGATGGAAAATTGACAGATTTACAAGTCGTCCCAGTCCACCATTGTGATATCCGTACTTCCCCGGCAACACCACCCACTGGAGCCCCTTGGTACGCCATCCAATCAACTGTCACGTTAGCTTTTGATTTCCGCTCATTGTAGCCTGCCGCCATCACACACGCAGTGAATCGATCATAACTGACATTCTCAACCCACGACACAGCGGCATCATGTACATATGACTTGTCACTGGTGTCAATATGATTGACAGTGATCTGAACTTCAAGTGGTTTGTAAGGATAAAACACATAAGGCTTGAGGCGAATTACTTCACAATGAGAATATCCCAGTGAAGGAATGTGTGGCATGTGACGGCGACCTCGCTGGAAAGGAAANGCAGAAAGCATTGTTGTAATCTGCAGGAGGATGCTGGGCGTTAGCAAAGTAGACTGAACTATGCTCTGTGAAAAGGGGCTTGTGAAGAGAGGAAAATGCCAACCATTTCTATTAAAGATTAAAATACACATTTTGATGAAAAAGCTTATTACAAAGTAAACCTTACCACAGTTTACTACTCAACTAGCCCCAGTTTTATTTGTTATCATATAGAGGTATATTAGAGTGAGCTTGTTCTATACAGGTCCTGTTTGGTGGAAGCTGTCACACTCACAACATGAACGTCTTCATGCGATCCTGCGTAGTTCTGCAGCTCTCTCAAACAAACTTTGAATGACAATTGCGTGACGTCTTCAACCCACAGACTGGCAGCGTCACGCTTTAATCCAGCGTGATGGTGAGCAGCAGTAACAAACACTGAGGGTATCACTGAAAACTTCCCCTAAATGGAAAACAAGCAAACAAAAAAATAACAAAGCAAGCCAACAAAAATAGTCAGGACAAAAGCTGTATAGGGTTTAAAATGTTAAAGATAACAACATAATCAGTGGTTTAGCAACCTGTATATATTCAGAAACAGGAGAAACCAAGATTCCTAGCTAGTAATCCAGACTCTGTAAAGCCTAGTACGAGTTAAATAAAGTATTATTCAGTGGTCCAGTGACATCTTAGGTAAAAGTGAAGTTAGTGCAATTTAAATTAAAAGAGGAAAGACTTACCGATGGAAAATTGACAGCTTTACAAGTCGTTCCAGTCCACCATTGTGATATTCGTACTTCCCCGGCAACACCACCCACTGGAGCCCCTTGGTACGCCATCCAATCGACTGTCACGTTAGCATTAGATCTCCGTTCATTGTACCCTGCCGCCATCACACACGTGGTGAATCGATCATAACTGACTTTTTCAATCCACGACACAGCGGCATCATGTACATATGACTTGTCACTGGTGTCAATATGATTGACAGTGATCTGAACTTCAAGTGGTTTGTCTGGATAGAAGACAAAAGCCTTGAGGCGAATTACTTCACAATGAGAATATCCCAGCGAAGGAATATGTGGCATGTGACGGCGACCTCGCTGGAAAGGAAATCCTAAAAACGCAATAAGAGAGATTAGTCAGAAGGAGTGGTTGGATTTTACTCGTTATACAGAAGTCAATGGCATCATCGTCATTATCGTTTTGATCATCCATGCCGTCAAAAAATTGATTTTAAAGCAAATCAAAGTATTACATTCTGACCTTCACAACTACCAGGGTGTTGAACGGAAAAGTTCAATCGCAGAAGACACATTTCCTGTCGAAACAAACACTCATTGTCGTATGTTGTGCCATTTGATGAGCAGACGGGTTCTTGGTAGGATGGACAACTGTCCTCAGCAACGCAGCGAGCATCATTTGGTCCAAACGATTTACACAGACAGTGATAATGACATGTCACGTCGATACAAGGATCCAAGTCTTGTCAAAGAATGTGAAATGAAAAAACGTAAGTAATTATGAATAAAGACAATTAAAAGTGGATCTAATAAGCTGACGTTTTTGGGTTGTTTCAAGTTATCTGTGCGACTAAATTGCACTTAAAGATAAATAGTATTAAAAGGTTCTTTTCAAGGTAATTTACTGTTTACNTGTCGAAACAAACACTCATTGTCGTATGTTGTGCCATTTGATGAGCAGACGGGTTCTTGGTAGGATGGACAACTGTCCTCAGCAACGCAGCGAGCATCATTTGGTCCAAACGACTTACACAGACAGTGATAATGACATGTCACGTCGATGCAGGGATCCAAGTCTGGCAAAGAAAAAAATGTAAAATAAATAAACAAACAAACAAACAAACAATTAAAAGATAAGTAAATACATAAGTGTGGGATAAAAATAAAATATATTGAAGTAAGTAATATTTTAAGACAAATATGAACGGAACTCTCAACCTAATGTTTGTAGGTTGTTTCAAGTTATGTGTGTAATTAAATTGCACTTAAAGAGAAATAGTATTAAATTGTTCTTTTTACGTTAAGGTACTGTTTACGCCTCGAGACCATTAATTTCGGGTGTATGTCAATGTTTTGTTAGTCTTTTATTACGAAGTTTGAGTGCAATTTTTCTTTGCTCGTAAATGCGTTTCATTTCTTAAACCTCAAGATATATTTAACTGTATGACACGGACCGTTTCTGCCTACCTCCAATGATCATGTAGTCGACAGTGATAACATCTTTGTTGTTGGCGTCGCTGTTGTAATTCTTCACACAAACCTGTGCATCAGTTGTAGATGTATACTGAATAATAAAACAAAATATAGCGAGCGTTTCTTCCCTTTGTGAGTCCACTAAGATACAGAGATTCTCAAATAATACAAAAGGAGGGTCAAAAGAATTTTATCATATGTTTTGTGTTCGTACTGGTCGATAATAGGGCCAGAAATGCTTACGGCGATGTTAAGTCCTCTCCAGTGCAACGGATGTGCCTAAATTTCTTGCGACGCATTCCTTACCTCAACCCAAGCAGTAATGGCATTACAACGTGACCCAGACAGATTAGAATTGTTATTGTTCTCACTGCGCTTTGGCGTCACCAACACAACAGGAGGAGCATAAAATGGCGCTGTGAAGTTTATCATCTAGAGTATTAAAGGAAACAGTATTACAGGTATAAGTATTGTTCAGTTCTACAACCAAGGGAGACTTTTCTAGTGGTAAAAATACCAATTGTACATTTCTGATAAGGGATGTCGATTTTAAGTCGACCTATCAGAGAAACCTCTATATAAACTACTTGATCAACTAAAGAGGAGAAGGTTGCGAAGATGCCTGGGCTTTGGAAACTATTTAGCTCGATACATTGTTGCAATAATAGGTAGTTCTGTTTGGTTTCTAAATGAGCACGACTTTGACCTAGAAAAGGAAAAATGAAAGTTGTCGCAACTGACCAGTTTTCATGAAAGCAAACTGTTGTATAGTATCGGTAACATTATGTAGTTAATCCTTACTTGACAGAAAGCGTAGTTATCTTGATGAGATGGTGAGTTTGTATTGGTAAACACCAGGCTGTCGGTTATGGTAAAATTGTCAACTCTCAGGTTCTTGAACGCCATCCAACTCTGCAGCAGAATTTGAAAACAAGTAATGAGAAATAAATCAGTAGTTGTTATTAATTAAATAACAAAATAAATAAGGGGAAGTTTTGTTAAAGTTTAGAAGGGGTTAGGCCAATAAGGCCAAAAAAGGATTTATGAATACAGGGAATTTCAGTACAAGATAGATGGATAGATAGATAGACAGACAGATAGACCGATAGACAGATACACAGATAGACAGATACACAAATACACAGATACATAGATACACAGATAGACACACACACAAATATACAGATACACAGATACACAGATGCACAGATACACAGATACACAGATACACAGATACACAGATACACA